AGCGCGTAGCGGACCCTCCCCGTCAGCCATGGCCCCACCGGCCATGGCACCCCCGCCACCTGCCGCTTCCGGGGCCCGCGCCCCGCCCGCCGCGCCCATAGGCTGCTCCGCCTGTCCATCACCGCGGATGGCGCCATCTCAACCGTTCATTGGTGGGAAGCGCCTGCCCCCAGCCAATGGGCGCCGCGCACTGTGTCCCGCCCACCCCGCTCCCTGCCGCTGAGGACCCGGCCCGGCATCACCCGGTCATGGCGCGGGGGTCGCGGCGGGAGACCGAGCGGGGTGGGGGCAGCGGCAGCCGCGGCGCGATACCTGCCCGGTCTCCGCGGGCTGTAGCGGCGGCACCGAGTTAAACGCTCCTCCCTCCCCAAAACCAGCGCCGGGGCCGCCCCGGCCCCTCCCGCGCTGAGGGCGCGTTGCGGGCGGAGGGCGCCCCCTGGCGGCGCGGCCGCTCCCGCCGCCGCTCCAAGATGGCGCAGGCGATCTTCGAGGCGCTGGAAGGTAACGGGGCCGCGCCGGGGCCGCGCCGGCACCCGCGGGTGCGACCCCCGCGCCCCCCGAGCTCCCGCTGCCCGGCGCTGCCGCCGCGAGGGGCGGGGGGCCGCGGCGGGGCAGCCCCGCCAGGCCCGGCCCGGCGCGGCGTGGGGCGCTCCCGGCAGTCCCGGGCTGTGCCCCCGCGCTCCCCGCGGCGGGGACGGCGCCGCAGCCGCCGCCCGCAGCCCCCGCCTTAGCCCGGGCATCCCCGTGCCCGGCTCCCTGCGGTGTCCCTGCCACCTCCGGACCCCCGGCCCGGTGCCACCTCCTGCCTGTGCGCCGGGACATGCCCGCACTGCCCATCCCCGTGCCCTGTGCTCCGGGTAGCCCTCGTTGGCCACGGACGCTGTGCACCACAGCCCCTCCCTGCCCCAGGGCCCGATACCGCGAGGCACACCATCCCATCCCATCGCTGTCCCTGTGCCCAGCGCTCCAGGGCACCCTATCCCATCGCTGTCCCTGTGCCCGATGCCCCAATGCACCCCTTGCCCTCCCTGCCCCTCTGCCCTGCACATCGGGGCACCCTCCTCTCTGTGCCCAGGAAACAGGATCCCCAATCCCCAGGGCACCGTGTGACTCGTGTGCCTCTCCCCCTTCCGTTGCTCCCTATCCCTGTGCCCAGCGCTCTGGGACACCCTCTGCATGCTGGGGTCCCCCATCCTCCCCTCAGCCCAGGGCTCACACTGCTGTGCCACGCTCCCTGCCAGCCCCAGGGATGGTGCCCAGGGAGTGATGGCCCCTGCATGTGTATTTTGGAGGTGTCTGTGCCCTCTGCACTGCCCAGACAGTGCCCATTGTGTGGGTGAATGGGTTGTGCTCAAATTCATCTCAGTTTGGCACTGGGACACTGTCGCAGGCAGGTGCCATCCCAGGGGGACTCCTGGAAGTGTCAAGCTGTGCCAGTCTGAGCCTGTTTGGGGAAAAACTATTTCCCAGGCATTGATTTCTTAATCTGGATTACAGATGTATTTTCCCTTATGTGGGGGCACAGCTGACGTGGAAGGCCTGGCATCATGATTGTCACCCACGCTTTCAAACATCCCCTGTGATCGCAGCAGCAGAGAGAGGAGCAGAGAAGAAATATTTCTCTCTTTTTTGTGAGGTTACTTGGTGCATTTGGCAGCACCCTGTGCAGAATCAGGTCCCTGTTTCCTCACTGCAATCAGCTCCTCAGTGGTGTGAATTTCCTCACAGAATCCAGGAGAGCAAAACCTTTTAGCAAATTTTAGCACCTTTTAGAGTCTGAGCTTGTTTCTTTTCTCTTGTTGATGTGATTACAAGTAGATGGTGACTTGGCATTTGTGTGGATGCTGAGAGCAGGCTGTGGGGCACAGGGGCATCTTCACCTGTCACCAAAGCACCTGGTGCTGGTGTCAGCAGAGAAGGGTCAATGCATGATGGAAAAGTAGCACCTGGGTGAAATGGACACTCTTGTTTCACCTCGAGCTGAGAGGAATTTGAAAGGGAAAAAAAAAAAANCATTGATTTCTTAATCTGGATTACAGATGTATTTTCCCTTATGTGGGGGCACAGCTGACGTGGAAGGCCTGGCATCATGATTGTCACCCACGCTTTCAAACATCCCCTGTGATCGCAGCAGCAGAGAGAGGAGCAGAGAAGAAATATTTCTCTCTTTTTTGTGAGGTTACTTGGTGCATTTGGCAGCACCCTGTGCAGAATCAGGTCCCTGTTTCCTCACTGCAATCAGCTCCTCAGTGGTGTGAATTTCCTCACAGAATCCAGGAGAGCAAAACCTTTTAGCAAATTTTAGCACCTTTTAGAGTCTGAGCTTGTTTCTTTTCTCTTGTTGATGTGATTACAAGTAGATGGTGACTTGGCATTTGTGTGGATGCTGAGAGCAGGCTGTGGGGCACAGGGGCATCTTCACCTGTCACCAAAGCACCTGGTGCTGGTGTCAGCAGAGAAGGGTCAATGCATGATGGAAAAGTAGCACCTGGGTGAAATGGACACTCTTGTTTCACCTCGAGCTGAGAGGAATTTGAAAGGGAAAAAAAAAAAAGCACAAATCAGTAGTCCTGTACTTTTATCCTAGCTTCCCCAAATCACCCTGCTGTTGTCAGGCTCTGGGCACCTCAGCTCCTGCTGTGCCAGGAGAGGAGTTGCTGGGTTTTTTAAGTTTCATGATGCACACTGGTGCTGGCTGCAGGCAGGGCAGGCTCCATCCAAAGGTTTCTCCTGGAAGTCTGTGGGTGGCTGAGAACAGCATCTGCTTAACCAAGTAACTGCCAGCTTGTGTTTGTGGGTTACTAACCTTGACCTCAGGGGTTTCCCTCTGGGAAGTGTGGTGTTGTGCAGTTACCCTGTGAAACAGGGACTCTGGGGGCATTTGCCTGAATTGCCAAATAAATGAGGGCAGCATATTTCTCTTGTCCTGGGCCTCTTTTCCCCATCGAGAGGCTGAGTGCAGCACTGACAATCTTGCTGCATCATTGTCTTCAGGTCTTGGCCTCTCCTCAAGCTTCTTCCTCTTAAGAGGATCAAGTCTTTTGGCTTTTTTCTTTGGAAGATCTGACTGTGTGCCAGAGAGAAACCCAGTTGTCCAGTGCCAGGCCCATCAAGAGTGGCACCCTTGGCACAGACTTCTTAATTATCCCCATTCTATACTTAATCTGAGTTTTCGATCCTTCTTTTCCTTTTAGCTTATTTCTGCTGGAGAAGGGCTGCTCCATTTCACTCTCTGGTGTGGCTGTTGCAGCAGGAGCCTGCAGTGCTGCCCTGGCAGTTGCCCAGGGGTTATTAGAGGAGGTGTATTGTGGGGCAAGGCTTGGGATCCTCCGGGAGCATTCCAGCGGTGTTCTCCCGGCGGGGCTGACCTGCAGGGCTGGCTCCAGCTCTCCAGGCAAGCCAAGGCTTGCAGAACTGGACCTGCAGCTTTGCTGTGCCTCCCTGTGATTTATGTGAAAGGCTTCCCATAGGCATGGTGGGAATTTTGTGGTAGTGTGAGATGTTGTGGGATCTGCTGCTTTCCAGTAGCTGCTTGTGCCCTTGGAGGACTGTGCTCTGCTCCCTGCCAGGAACATCAGCAGCGTTTGCGACCTCTCCTCAGTGA